GACTACACCCCCAGGCCTCGGGTCTGGGGCTGTCGCGCCCCCAGCTGTGCGCCAACAGAGTCCAGGGCCGAGCGCTGGCGGTGCCAGGGCGGCTCCTTCTCCCTCGTGGGCTGCACCACCTGTGCGCCCCCCGGCCCCCACCTGCGCTCCTCCAGGCCCCACACGCCTGGGGTTCCCTACCAGGGCTCAGGTCGGGGATGGCAGGTCTGGGCGCTCTAAGGGCTGCGGGGGCCCCCGGCTGGGGCGCGCGTCCCCGGGGCCCGCGTCTGGCCCCGGCCCGGCCCCGGGCGCTCGCCGGCGGCGGGGAGGCTGCGCGCCGAGCGCAAGCCGCGAGCACAAACAGGGCGAGGAGGCTGGTGCGAGCGCCTGGGCCCCGTGCCAGCGCCGGGGCTGGAACACAATGTCCCGGGCGGGCGGGCGCGAGCGAGAACAGCCTGACTCAGCAGCCGGGCAGTGGGTGTGCTCGCTCACCAGATAAACCGCTCTCGCAGCCTGCGGTCGGCGACGACCGGTCTCGGGGGAGGGGCGAGCTCGCGGCTGGCTCCGGTTCCGCCTCCCGCCCGGCCTGCCGCTCGCTCGGGACCTCCACGTGGCCGGTTGGCGCGTCCCTCCGGCTCCCCCCCCCCCCCCCCTCCGCCCAGGACAGAGGCGCACCAGCCCCAGCCCGAGCGGAGCCGGCTCGGCCTCCCCGGAGGGGCACCTCCTCCGCCACCAGCAGGTGTGGCCGGGCCCACAGCGGCGGCCACAGGTCCGGCTTCCTCCACACCCACATGCTGGGAGCCCACTGGACGATGCAATCCTTGCAGACGGAGCAGAATTTTTTTCTAGGGTGGTGGGAGCTGAGGAAGAGGATGCTGGCAGAAATGGGACATGGGGCAAAAAGACCTCCGTCATGTCTGTTCTCAGCTGACCCAGAGTTCAGAGTCTCTTCCTGTCCCCACGCCTCAAAACCACTAGGCCCCTGAAGATTTCCTCAGAGGGAGGGGGGAGCAGGTGGGAGGCGCTTTGAAGCCTGAGACTCTGCTTTTCGGCCTTACCCCACGCTCCTACCCAAAGCCACAACAAAGACCACGAACCCTGCCCCCCAGCCACAAGCTGCTCCTTCCTCCTGGGCGCCTGCTGGCCCCTGAGGTCTGGTGGCGCCTTTATGAGAATGACAGCCCTGGGTCAGGAGCTCAGATGGCAGCCCAAGCAGGACTCTTGGCGGGGAGGGGAGGGGTAAGGACCTATCCCAGGCCCCAGCCAACTGGGGTGTCTGCAAGGTACCCCAGAGGACATGCTGTGCCTGGAGTGTGCCAGGGCAGGCAGGGAGGGGCTCCATCCTCTGCCGAATTCCAGGAAAGGCCCTGGCAGTCAGCACAGGCCTGGGCTCCAGGGCCTTGGAGGGTGGGGCAGGGGGAGGGACCCTAGGCTGTGAAGTGCCTCACCTGGGCCTCATTATCCCCCCTACACCCCCCTTGTGGCCCATCTGATGGCATCTCTGGCACCCTCTGTAGCCAAGGGTAAGGAGGTGCATGCCAACGCAGGCCTGGGCCATGGACCACGTTCCCACACATACAGGCACACTTCCCACACATCTGCTCACCCATCCAACCCTCACAGACTCTCCCAGGCAGGAGGCACCCTCAGCGGCACTGACTTAAACTTCTACCTGATTTATGAAATCTGTCCATGATATCCCAGGTCAGTGACTGCTCTGAAGCTGTTTGCACACCTATAATGACAGGGACACTCTCACAATGCAGCCCCCTCCCCTTCTGGACTTCCCTGTCCCAAGCCCAGTCACATGCCTTCACATAGCCTAGAAGTGACTGAACTTATCATGTTCCTCACACGAGTCCTCCCCTTTGTCCACCGCGGCCCTCCCATCCCCCCAGATCACCATGATGGTGGACTAATTTTTAACTATTTTCTCTCCTTTACCATCCTATATCTGATCTGTTACCAAATTATTCCCTCTGTTGCTTTTATGACAAGACGCACTGTTATTTTTCTGTCACCTCTTCTCCAGCCCTATCGATTACCTTTGGCCCAAATGCCCACAGCAGCTGCCACACTGTCCTTTCTAGCCCAGGTTTTTCCTTCTTCCTGCACACCCTGCTGGAATAATCTTTCTCAAACACTGTTTATTGTGTGTGCTATCTACTTTGGACTCCTCAGTAAGCACACAGGGTACACCAGCTTCTAACCTGCGTGTTCCATAGGAAGGGCCCGATTGGTTCATGGCGTGCCCGGGTCACAGCGTCCAACACAGGCTGGCGCGGAGCGGGAGAGCAGCAGTGACCCATCTGTTTGGCTGCTCCTTTCTCATCGTAACAGTTCGCCCTCCAGACTTGGTCTCCCCAGCCCCATCAAGCCTGTTGGCTTCCTGATGCTCACTCGGGCCCCTTGGTTTTGAGGAGCCACTATTTTTCGTTTCCCAAAACCTTCAGAGAGCGATTGGGAAGGGAGAAGCCAACATCCAGGTTGGAGCCAACTACCAACTGCAAAGACCTTGGGGTGCAGGGTGGAAGGAGTGCAGCTGCCCGCCGGGTCTCTGCTGCAGTAAGAAACGGAAGCGCTGAGGAGGGTGGAAGGAGAAAGGGAGTGTGGGCAACCAGTGGCTTTGGGTTTACAGAGGGATCTTGCCATGGAGATTCCAGCCTGCCTAGTTCTGGGTCCCTGGTCCGATGCCCTTAGATTGTTCTCTTTCTTGACAGCACATCACACACACACACACACACACACACACACACGCGCGCGCGCACGCGCGCACACACACACACACACACACAGCCAGTCACCACCTCAAACCCCCACTCAAGTCCACCTCCTTCCGAAAGGCTCTCACAACCTCCACTTCACTTTGATCATTTTGTTTCCAACTTCCCCTGAGCGTAATGAGCTGTCTTCAATCTTTTCTATATTTTATTGTTTACTTATTACCTGTAGTACTTTCAACCCCACAGGTAATAAACTCCCCACAGGCAGAGACAGTGTCTTTATTTATTTAACATCGTTTATTTACCTGGAGAAGGAAGCAGAGGTGAGACAAGGCAATCAGGCTGGGGAGGCCACATGAACTTGAGTCTGGATCCTGGTTCCAAACACTTAGCTGTTTGGCCCCGGGCAAGTCTCTTAACCTCTCTGACCCAGTTTCTTCATCTGTAAAAGGCACTGGTGATACTTGCAGAATGAGGGGAAAAGACGACGGAGAATGCCAGGCCTGGGCCACGGACCGCCTTCCCACACATACAGGCGCATTTCCCACACATCTGCTCACAGCAGGCACTTGTGCGGAGTGAGAAGACAATAGCTTGCCTTCCTTTCCTGCACGGTTGGAGCCTTCCACGAATTCCAAGTCAAGGTCCCCCCCCCACCCCCAAGACACTTTTAAGCTCGAAGAGGGACATTATCAATAATGACACTGGTAATCCCGGGACGCATGGCCACCGACCCCAACTCAGCAACCAGTGAGCACCGCGGACACCCAGCGCCTAGGCCTGGCGCCGAGCCCAGCGCCAGCGGAATAACGAAAGTTTGTTGAATGAACCAGCGAACAGAACCAGTCCTTCCACCAGCGAGTCAATAAGAAAAGCTTGAAAAGCCCGCCCCCGCCTCCTCCCACCCCCATCCGAGTCCCGAAGCCTCTGGCAGCCTCCGAAGCCTCCCTTCTCGAAGGTCTCGTCTCCAGCTCTCCCGCCCGCTCCCCCGCCCCGGTTGCCTTGACAACAGTGACGTATCCGAGAGGGGCGTCGCCTCTCCATCCTCGGCCGGAGCCTGGGGCCCCTTCTCGTCCCCAGCGGGGGAGAGGCTGAGGCTGGGGTCCTCGACCTCCCGGCTCCCCCGGCCTGGGGCGACCTGCGCCCGCCTGGCCGCCCCTTCGGTTGCGGGGCCCCCGGAGTGCGAACCCCCCCCCCCCAGCCCTCTTCGCAGCGCCGAACTGGAGGGGCCCGGAGGGTGCCGGCTTCGGGCCGGGGACCCCTGCCCACCCCTTCACTGCCGCCCAGCCAGTGGATCCCGCGAACCCGAGCCCAGCGCTCAGCCCAGGCCCCCCGTTCCCCGTGCAGCCCTCGGGCTCCTGGGGGTGCGGGGCGGGTGGGACCCCAGGGCGGCCGGGCGCCGCGGTGCGCGGGAGGGAAGGAGTTAAACTAGGTGCCGGCGGCGGGGCGGGGGAGGGGAGCGAAGGGAAAGTGAGAGCGGGGGCGCGGGGGGGGGGGGGTATGTGGGGAACCAACGCGAAAGAACATCCTGTGCCCGCCGCCGGATGCACGCGGGGGGGGGGGGAGGTCGGGGGGAGGGCGAGAGGGAGGCCCGGGCTGGGAGAGGCGCGGCCTCCGCCCCGCGCGCTCCTCCTCCTCCTCCTCCTCCTCCTCCTCCTCCTCCTCCTCCTCCTCCGGGGGCGCGGCCCCCTGCGCTCCCGGGGCCTCCGCCGCGCTTCTCCCGGTCCCTACGCCTTCGCGGGACTCACGAGGCGCCGAGCGGCCCCCGAGTGTGATGGCTGGGCCAGGGGGCGGGCGCGGAGAGGGGGGCATCCGCGCAGGGCTCGGCGCCCCGTCCTTCCATCTGTGCGCCCTGCTTTCTGCACGGGAAGCTCGCGGGTGTAGAGCGCCTGTGCCCCGGGTCACAGCAGTCATCCCTGCCCGCGCTTCCCGGTAGTGGGAGGTATTAATAGACCCGCGTTCCGGAGGAGGAAATGGGGACTCAGACTGTGGAATTTGCCCAAACTCCAGCCGGTCGGACTCCGAAGGCGTTTCAGTCAAGTCACCTCCTTGCCCTTAGCTTGTGCGCACACAAGCGTCGGGTCCCTGCACCGTCACCCTCCTTAATGACCTAGAACTTGGTCTTGCACAGTACCCCCCCCCCCCCATATCGTATGAGGTTTCTCAAATTTCTCTAATCCGAAATTGTTCAAGGCGGTTAAATGGGTTACAGGAGTTGAGCGTGATTAGTCTGAACAAGACCGGGTGTGTGTGTGTGTGGGGGGGGCGCGAGGGGGGGGTGAGGGTGAGTGGAAGGGGCTGAAGGATGTGCCTTTGAGGCCTCTTCGAGGCCCACCATCGCGTGCTCACAGCCTTCCCGCCCAATGTTCTTGACCGCTGAAACCTGATCATCACAGTGTTAAGCACTTTACTTAATCCCCACACACCCTCCCAGGTAGGTATCATTTCCATTTTACAGATGGGGAAGAAGCAGCAAGAAGAAATGGCAAAGCTGCCCTGGCTGGTGTGGCTCAGTTGGCTGGACACCCTCCTCTGCACCAAGGAGTCCTGGTTCCATCCACTGGTGGGGTTGTGTGCAGGAGGCAACCAATCCACGTTTCCCTCTCTCTAAAAAATCAAAATTTAAAAATTTTTTTAAAAAGGAAACACAAAGCTAAGTCAGTGACTGAGCTGGTTTTGAACCTGGAAGTCTGGCTAGAGCCCACACTCTCACTAAGCTAAACTGCACCTAACCTGGGAGGACAGCAGCCCGGGAGGTAGAAGGCTGGTGGGGAGGCCAGAGGCTCTCGCTAGGGCAGCCCACACCCTTTGCTTTGGTAAGAAACTTGGGGCTGAGTGTATGTGAAATCTCAGACTTCTCTCTCACCAGTAGTTCCAGATTTCTGGATTTGACAGAAAAGCCAATCAATACAAGGGAACAAAAGCCAAGTTCCCACAAAGAGTTGCAGCTTTCATTTATGCTCCCTAAGAACACTCGAAGCACGACCATCATCTATTACCATATTTCATAAAAGCAAGTATATTTGAATTCTCCTCTCACTAAGAAACACATCATCTCAATCAAAAGCAGCCATTCCCAAGAAAGACCAGTCACTGACTTTACACCCGCAAATAGACATTCCTCTTGCTTTATTATTTCCTCGTGCTGTGGACCCGTGGAAATGTCACCCTGGGGGTGCCTCTGCCGCCAACCCCTTTGAGTCAGTTGAGGGAAGAACCGAAGGGAAGGGGCTTTAGGTGTAGCGGGAAGGAGCTGGGTTAGAGCCAAGAAAGAGTTCGCCTTTGGAGGCCTTTACAGAACATGTGAGCACCATGTTTGCTTAGCATGGGAAGGTCGCAGAATCAAATCCATGGACGGGAGAGGCCAGTAGCTCTGAGTTACACCCCAGAGAAGGGCAGGGACCTTGTTCTGAAGGTTCTATCCTCGGGCCCACCAGGGTCACCCTTGGAACCTAAAGCAGCCCTCAGCAGGCAGGCAGGCGTTTCCTTCCTGGAGTTCATGGGTGGTGACTGTGGGTCCCACGCAAGGAGGAGGCCTCCTTGCAGGGAGTCTGTGTAGTCACCCATAGGCTACCTAGCTGGGTGTCTGTGGGGCTGGGGCAGAGGGACGAAGAGAATGGCCATGTTAGAGCGCTGCCTGCAGCCAGGTGTGGTGGGCACAGACTCTGAGTGGACAGGCCTGGATGGCTGCAGCATCGTGGGGAGGCTGTCTTCCTGTTTCCCCACCTCCTTCAAGCCCAGGGGCAGCCCAGGACCCAATGCCTTTCAACAGGAGCTTGCCGCCAGGCAGGGAAGCCCCGTTCTGGTACAACCATGCTCAGCACTGGCTCTGGGCCCGTCACCTCCTGGCTCTACACCAGAGGTGAGGCCCGCAGGTGTGGGGCCAGGGGGTGAAGAGAGGATGGAAGGGTCTGGCCACCTGCCCCATCCTAGTAGTGAAGATCAAGGCCTTCAAAGTTGGGCTCTTCCAGAAGAGGCCTCAAGCCTCATTCTGCCTGGGGGAGGAGGGGGGTGGGGAGGTGGGAGTGGTACTCACAGATTTAAGCCCCCATAGTTTAAAGGCACAGACCTACCCAAGTTTTAAACCTGGAGTTTTAGAATGGTAAACCTGAGTCTCCGGGTAGAAATGCAGAAACTGGGACCAAGGCAAGGGCAGTCCCTTCCTCTAGGCCACACTGGTTAAATGGGCCCGGAGCCCGTATCTAGATTCTGTCCCTGTTCTGCCCTCAAGTCCTCAGAGGACGACAGAAGTCATGACTTTAACCACCTAAGTGCAAGACTGTGCTGCATGTTGGAGAGGCAGACAACTACCCTCTGGAGCTTCTGGTGCCACAGGTTGTACACTGCAGGAGCACATGCAGGTGCTGGGAGCCGGTGGATTTGCCTCTGGACTCTGTAACACTTTCAGTCTCTCAGAACCCCAAATAGCAGGAACCTCTCAGTTCCCAAACTGCATCCCTGTGTTGGGGGGTTGGGGAGGGGGCTGCCTGCAGCAGCTCCCAAGGCCCAGCAGTGGATCTGTGGTGAAGAGATGGAAGATAGGAGGGCCAGGGAAGGGAGGGAACTGGGGCTGCCAGTGGGCACACCCCCAACACCCCTCCCAAAAAGTTTCAAAGGCCCAGCCCAGAAATTGGGCCTCTGCTGCCCTCTAATGGAGGAAAGGCAGCCTCGGGAGCCCCCTGCTGGCACCCCACCAGCCTGGCTGCCCTAAGGAATAGGGGAGGTGAAGATCCTGCCCGCCCAGACTTTTTATTCCCGTAGAGTCTTGAGCTTCATTTCCCGCAGCCTCTAAGCTAAACCTTCTCTTCTTCCAAGCTGCTCTGGCTTCCCTGCTTCCCGAGCACCCTCCATCCCACCATTTCTTCCGTTTCCTTTGTTGCCTGGGTTGCGATTCTTGCACCCTGGTTCCTGGCTCTGCCAGGGTTCTGGTTCCGGAAGGCCCTTACCAGGCGCCTCCGGCCTAGCTCCCATCTGGGCCCAAGGCGGTGCGGAGGACATGGGCAAGAACCTCTCCCCACTGGGGCAACTGAACATCCGCAAGAGCGTACTGGGCTTGACCATAGGCGCTGGGGCCGTCTACCTGCTCTACAAGGCCATCAAGACTGGCATGAAATGCCAGCAGCCCCTCTCTACCTCCTCGCCCACCTGCATCGCCCGTGAGTGTCTGGGCCCTGGGGGCAGGACTTGGCTCCAGGAGGACCTGCTCCCCGAGGCCTCCAGTGTGGGAGGGCCCAAAGGTGACTCCAAGTTCCTCCTCTCTCTTTCTCTCCTCCATCTTCCTTAAACTCGCCCCAGCACAGGGGCCTGGGACTCAAGGGGGTCCTCAGGACTCATCTGGCAGACCTTTACACTCTCCATTCACTCTGGCTTCCGGGAAGCCACTGCGTGAGGATCAGGCATCAGCAGTCCCCACCCCCCCACCCCCCCACCCCGGCCCCAACAAAGGAAAATTGGGGGACCTACGTGCCCAGAGCCTGTACTAGTTCATATGACAACTTTGGGCAAAGCAGAAAAGGGCTCCCCTTCTGCAAGACGTGTTGTTGCCATCTGCTGGAATCTCAGGGCCATATGCTAATTAGGATGGAAAACTGCGTGTTACTGCATATGCCAGGAAATTGTTAGAGTAAATATTTAAAACTGTGATGTTTATGATGTGACTGACACAGCATTAGATAAGGTGGGCCGTGCACGCCACACCCTGTCCAGCTGGACGCGGTGGTCCTGCCTGTAGCGAGAAAGCTCTTCAGAAGAGGCAAGGCAGCTTTGCCCCAGGTCCTCCCCGTCCTTCCAACCCCATTCTGTCTGCGCTCCGAGTCCACAGCCTGAACTGCCTGGGTTGGCTGTCTAGGCCTGGCCATCGAGCGAGAGCGGCACGGGGGGGACTCAGGTGAGCTCCGGAGGCTTCTCAACTCTCTGGAGAACAGACACGATGAGTACACCAAGGGCATGATCCTGCACAACATCACGCGCTGTGTGTACTTGCTGGAGGCTGAGGTGAGGGGCGGGAAGCAGGGGCCCCCCCTAGCAGCCTGGCCCCTGGCGGCTACAGTCTTGCCTGGCCAGACTGTGTCCCGGGGCCTGTCTCCGGCTGGTGATGGCGGGAGGGGCGGTGGGGAGAGGTCTTGGTGACATGGGGCGGGGGGCACTGGGCCTAGGACATGCACTGCTCCTGCCTCCTCCGTCTCTCCCGGCACACCTAGGCCTCTGCCTGCACCCCTGATGACATCATGCTCGTGGGCTCCATGCTGGATGACAAGGACAACAGTGTCAAAATCCAAGCTCTGAACACGCTGAAGGCTTTCTCTGGCATCAGAAAATTCAGGCTCAAAATTCAGGTGAGCCCAGGGGCAAGAGGTGGGGCCGAGTGCACAGGATGCCCGCAGCCCATGGGTCCTTGAACGGGCGTAGGACAAGTGGTCACCTTCCAGAAGTTTGTTTGGGGCTGAGTTTACAAACCAGAAATAGGTTTTTCCCTGGGAATAAGGGGGAAATTGGTGGTCACATTCTCAACAGGGTCATTCAAAGCCTTTGACTCTCAGGATGAAACTGGACTGGGCTCCAGGGCTGGGAGTCTCTCAGAACCCCAAATAGCAGAAAGCCCCCTGAGGTTCTTTCTGACACCAACTGGGCGTTCCACAGTTTAACCCGATGCTGACACCACCTGGAGCTGGCACAGGCTCCACAGGTTAAGGGCTTAGTCCCAGCAGGATGCCCCACCTCAGAGGCTAGTCACAAGTCCCAGCACTTCAGCCTGAGCGGCTATAAATTTGGAGGTTCCTGCGATCCCCTTTTTCAGGTTTGATAATTCATTAGAACGACTCTCAGAACTCAAGAAAGTACTACTTATTCTTACTGGTTTATTGTAAAAGATATAACCGAGGAGCAGCCCAGTGGAAGAGAGGAAGACTCAGAGGTTCCATGCCTTCTCCCGGCTGGCCTCCCTCCTAGCGCCTCGATGTGCGCAACCCGGAAGTTCTCCGAACCCTGTCACTTGGCGATATTGATGGAGGTCTCGTTATGTAGGCATGATTGATTAATCATTGGCCATTGGAGGCTGAACTCACCCTTTAACCCCTCACTGCTCCCCAGAGGTCAGGGATGGGGCTAAAAGTCTCAACCCTTTAATCAAGGTGCGGTCTTTCAGGCCACCAGCCCCATCCAGAAGCTATCTGGAGGCATACCACAAGTCACCTCATTAGCATAAATGTTGGGGTGGTGGAAAGGGGGTCAGTGTGAATAACAAAAGAGCTTCCAGTCACGAAACTGCAAGGATTTTAGAAGCTCTGTGCCTGGAACCAGGAATACTGTCATACCACCCCCCCACCCCACGCTGTGCTGGTCCATGTCAGCTCCCCCCGCTTCCTGCCACCAGGCCCAGCCTGCCTGTTTCCACACCCATCCTGCTGGCGCCATGGTAACATGCTTGCTTCCCATCTGCGGTCAGTGTTAGTCTGTCTTGGTCGCATCCCATCCTTGAGGGCCTCTCTCCTGGTCGGCGCTCTGTCTCATGCAGTCGCTCCAGTGCCTTGCCGTTGCATTCAGCATGCTCTAGGCCAGTGATGGCGAACCTATGACACGCGTGTCAGAGGTGATACGCGAACTCATTTTTTTGGTTGATTTTTCTTTGTTAAATGGCATTTAAATATATAAAATAAATATCAAAAATATGAAGCTTTGTTTTGCTATGGTTGCAAATATCAAAAAATTTCTATATGTGACACGGCACCAGAGTTAAGTTAGGGTTTTTCAAAATGCTGACATGCCGAGCTCAGAAGGTTCACCATCACTGCTCTAGTCCCTCTCATCTTGAAAAGCACAACTTACACCCTGACTGGTTTGGCTCAGTGTCGGCCAGTGGACTGAAGGGTCCCGGGTTCAATTCTGGTCAAGGGCATATGCCCAGGTTGTGGGCTCGATCCCCAGTAGGGGGGCGTGCAAGAGGCATCCGGTCAATGATTCTCTCTCATCATTGATGTTTCTATCTTTCTCTTCCTCCCCCTTCCTCTCTGAAATCAATAAAAATATGTTAGACAGAAAGAAGTGAGCAGCAAGAGAGAGAGCCAAGGAAGCACCAAGAAAGTGAAATTCCTTTGTTTAGGACCTTAAATATCTCAGGTTTCACATCCTTGCAGTAGCCACGCCTATTCTGGCCAATTACCTGTTCCCAGGTGTGACCGACACGTAAGCACCTTCCCACGTCACCCGGGCCTTATGGGCATGTGTCTAACGGCAGCTCTCTGGCAAAGCTGTGTAAGAGGCATGCCTGCATTGTCCAGCCTCCCCTTACTCCTTCCCTGTTATCCAGTAACCAGGTTGTTATGACGGTAGCGTTTGCACACTGTGCTGTGAACATTCTTGTACACATCTCCCTTGTGGACATGGGAGACTTTCCCCAGGGCGTGTACACAGGAGTGGAGTGGCTGGGGGAATGCTATGCCCACCTTTTCCAGGCCGGTCGCATCGGTGTGCACCCTCTCCCTGCCCTGTATGCACGTTCCGTGGCAGTATTTTCCCCCCAACCCCCCGCCCCGCCTTCCCGCCGAGCCTTGGTATTTTCACACTTTAATTTTTTCTTTTTACATCAAACTCTTTTTTGGGGAACAAACTTCTCTAGGTCTTCACTTTCTTGTCGCCTCCCCTTCATCCCTCTCAGCCCTCTCAGTTCCCAAAGGCTGTGAGTCTCAGGCTTATCAGAATTGCCCAGAAGGCTGGTTAAAAACAAAGATTTTGGGGCCCCCACACCCAGAGTCCAGTTCAACAGAGAGCTGTGTTTTTCACCAGCCCCTGGGCATCGCTGTTCCTTCTTCCCCCAGCGCTTGTATCCTGAGGACCTAACCCTGCTCTTCTCTCTCCCGGTGAGAGCAGCCACGCCCTGGCCTCAGTTTCCATCTGCATGTGCTCTCCTCCTTCTCTGTCCGCCGTATGGGGCTCTCCTGACCGCTAGACCTGTGGCCAGCTGCTCAACTTAGATGACCTAGTGGCCCTCTAACCCAACACATCGAAAATGGAGCTCGTTCCCATTCCCCAAGTCCGACCACCCTCTCCAGAGGATCTGATCCCATCACCCTCCTGCTTGGTCTTCCTTGAGGCCCTCCACTCCTTGCCCCAGCCCCAGCCATTTACACTGTATGTCTCATGCTCCCACTCCCTGGCCTTTGCACCTGCTGTTCTCTCTGCCTGAAACTTAAAAGACAGCGAGGGGTGGGGGCAGGGAGGAGCAGGGTGCTAGTGGGACTGCTGTAGTCCTCACTCCAGTATGCTTGTCTCCCCCTCATGTGGCTCACAAAGGTACAGCTGGTGAGGTTACCTGTCTTGAGTAATACCTCTTGGTCCCAGCATCTTGCATCTCAGAAGCCAAGATCCCTTTAATCATTCAACAAATGCATCCTGGGCACTTTGTACCAAGAGCAGTGAACAGAACAGGAAAGACCCCTGTGCCAGTGGAACTTCGATTCCGGCAGGGCAAGGCAGGCCATACAAAATAATAAAATGTACAATGAAGCGCTATGGAGACGAAGAAAAGCAAGAAGGTTGGTAAGGAAGGCTGGGGTGGAGGTGCTGTTGCAGTTTCAAAAGGAGAAAATCTGTAGGACGTAGGGCTTGGTGACGAGTTTTTAGAAATGACCCCAAAAGCATGATCTATAAAATAAAGAATTGAGAAATTAAACTTTATGAAAATTAAAAACATTTGCTTTATGTAAGACCCGGTTGAGAGGATGAAAAGATAAGCTACAGACTGGGAGAAAATGTTTGCAAACCACGTATCTGACAAAGGACACATATCTAGATTATATAAAGAGCTTTGAAAGCTCAATATCAGAAAAACAATCCGATTAGAAAATGGGCAGAAGACATGGAGAAATGTCACTGAAGAAGACACACAGATTGCAGATAAGCGCACGAGGAGATGTTTAACATCACTAGCCCTTGGGGAAATGCAAATTAAGGCCACAGTAAGATACAACAATATACCTGTTACATGATCTACACTCCAAATTAGTGACAACACTAAACGCTGGTGAAGATGTAGAAACTAGATCTATCATACATTGCTGATGGGAATGTAAAATGGTATAACAACTACTCAGGAAAATTGCTTGGCAGTTTCTTAAAAAATCTATAAATTTACTAGAAAAACTCCTCTGCGTTCATTTCTGAAGGGTCTTGGGTTTGATTCTGGTCAAGGGCACACACCTCGGTTGCAGATCCCCAGCCCTGGCCGGGGCGTGTACGGGAGGCAACCAATCAATGTGTCTCTCTCACGTCGATGTTTCTCTCTCTCTCCCCCTCCCTTCTGCTCTTTCTAAAAATCAATGGAAAAATATCCTCAGGTGAGGACTCACCAAAAACAAAACAAAACAAACAAAAAACAAAAACTGCCACACCACCCCCATACCAGCCTTCCTTGTCCCCCATCCTTTACTTTTCTCCATCACACTGTCACAGGTGTAACACACTTCTTACTTTTAAACTTTTTATTTTCAAATCATTATAAATTCATGAAATGAAAACTTACATTTGTACAAAAACCTGTGCACAATTGTCCAGAGGAACTTCGTTTGTAATAGTAAAAAATGAAACAGCCACCGTGAGTCTCAGTAGATCACTGGTTAGACAAACCGGTCGCCCATACCATGGAACACTACTCAGTAATAAAAAGGAATGAATGGATGCATACAACAACTTGGATGGATTTCAAGAGCATTATACCGAGTCAGAAAATCTTAGATGGTCACAAAGTTTGATACTATTTCTATAACATTCTCCAACTGTCAGAATTATAAGATGAGATGCAGATTAGTGGTTGCCAGCGGTTAGGGCTGGTTTTGGTGGGAAGAGGCGTGACTATAGGGGGTTCCACAAGGGAGATCTTTGTGGTGATGGGACAATTTTGGTGGAATACCCTGTTGATTGCCGTGGTGGTTACATGAACTGACACCTGTGATAAAATGACCTGGAACGAAACACACGCCACACCAATTCTAATTTCCTAGTTTTGATGTCGTCTATGGAAGATGTGACCCTTGAGGGAAACTGGGTGAAAGGCACAAGGTCCTCTCTGTACAATTTTTGCAGCTTCTCATGAATTTATAATTATTTGAAAATAAAAAGTTTAAAAATAAAAAGTGAGTTACACCTGTGACAGTGTGATGGAGAAAAGTAAAAGATGGGCGACAAGGTGGTGTGGCAGCAGTTTTTGTTTGTTTGTTTGTTTTGTTTTGTTTTGTTTTTGGTGAATCCTCACCTGTGGATATTTTCCTATTGATTTTTTAAAAAATATATTTTACTGATTTTTTTACAGAGAGGAAGGGAGAGAGATAGAGAGTTAGAAACATCGATGAGAGAGAAACATCGATCAGCTGCCTCCTGCACATCTACTGGGGATGTGCCCGCAACCCAGGTACATGCCCCTGACCAGAATCAAACCTGGGACCTTTCAGTCTGCAGGCCGACGCTCTATCCACTGAGCCAAACCGGTTTTGGCTCCCATTGATTTTTAGAAAGAGCAGAAGGGAGGGGGAGAGAGAGAGAGAGAGAAACATCGATGTGAGAGAGAGATATTGATTGGTTGCCTCCTGTACACGCCCCGGCCAGGGCTGGGGATCTGCAACTGAGGTGGGTGCCCTTGACCAGAATCAAACCCAAGACCCTTCAGTCTGAGGCTGCTGTTCTAACCACTGAGGAAAATGGGCCAGGGCTGGTGTAGCAGTTTTAAGGAAGGAGGGGGTCGGGGAAGCCTCACTGAGGCAACATTCAAGTCCTGAGGGAGGTAGGCGTGAGCCATGAATGTCAGGTATGAGAGTAGAGGGAACAGCCTATGCAAAAACCCCAAAATAAGTGTGTACCGGGCATGTTCCAGGAATAGCTAAGAGGCCATTGTAATGGGAACCAGGAAGCAAAGGAGAGAATAGGGGATAAGGCCAACGAAATAATGGGGAGAGAGGGGAATATCGGATTGTAAGCCACTGTAAGGACTCTAGCTTTTACCCTCAATGAACTAGGGACTCTGGAGCAGACGAGTGACACAGTGACACGTCTGTTGTTCTGAAAACAGATATGGCGTTGGGGGTGGGGGTGGTGGGAGCAGGGCGACCAGAGGCTATTGCAGAAATCAGATGCGAGACGGTGGCTGGGAACAGGGTGGTAGAAGGCGGGTGGTGAGACGTGGCTTGATGGTTGATCGATTTTGAAGGTAGAGCCCACAGGATTTCCCGAAGGATTGGAAAAAGGGTGTGAGAGAAAGAGAGTGGTCAAGGAGGGCCCGATTTTTCGGCCTGAGTAATGGAAGGAAGGCGTAAAGAACAGCTGAGACAGGGAAGGTGGTAGGAGGAGCAGGATGTGGCTGGGCACTTGTTAACTCGGGGCTCAATTAGACATTCTGGGAAAGGGGGCACTGGCTGGCACCTGCATATATGGCGAGCTGAGGAGAGGTCTGAGCCACACTTAAAAGGCAGCAGCTTAGGGATAGCACTTCCACTCAGTCTGGATGGCATCACTAAGGAGTGACGAAGACAGAGAGGAGGGGCTTGGGCACAAGGACCAGGAAAGAAGACTGAAAGGGAAGCGAGTGAAGAAAGAATCTCAAGAATATGGGAATGGTCAACTAGGTCAAATGATGTTGAGAGTTTGTCGGATGGAATTTTCTATTGGGTTCGGCTCAGGCGTCCTGGGTGCGGGCAGGGAAGAGTGAAGGCAGAGGCTGGGGTAGTGTGAGATCATCATATAAAAGCAGACCCTTCTTTTACCGCCCCCCCGCCCCCCTCCCTCCCCAGGAACACTTCATCAAGGTCCTGGAGCTGATAGCTACCATCTGGGACTCAGAGCTGCACATCGCTGGCCTCAGGCTCCTCAACAACCTTCCACTGCCTGACTTCGTGCACCCACAGCTGCGACGGGTGATGCCTGCCTTGATGGAGATTCTTCAGTCAGACTATCACCTGGCACAGGTGCCTCGAGACCATGACCCAGGCCCTGCCCAGCACAGCATCTAGAGCAGTGGTTCTCAACCTTCCTAATGCCATGACCCTTTAATACAGTTCCTCACGTTGTGGTGACCCCAGCCATAAAATTATTTTCGTTGCTACTCCATAACTGTAATTTTGCTACTGTTATGAATCGTCATGTAAATATCTGATATGCAGGATGTATTTTCATTGTTACAAATGGAACATAATTAAAGCATAGTGATTAGTCACAAAAACAATATGTAATTATATATGTGTTTTCCGATGGTCTTAGGCGACCCCTGTGAAAGGGTCATTTGACCCCCAAAGGGGTCGCAACCCACAGGTTGAGAACCGCTGGTCCAGAGGGAGGAGAAGAGACCGTGTCCTCTCTGCTCAGGCCCGGACTCACCTGCCTTCTCATGGTTTACGATTTCCTTCACTTAGGTGCAAGCCATCCGACTGCTGAGCCACCTGGCACAGAAGAATGACCTTCTCTATGATATTCTCAACTGCCAGGTGAGAAAGGCAGTGCTGAGGGGCTAATGGGTGCCAACTCGGATACTGGGGAAGGAAGAATTCTCCAGACAGACTTCGCCCTGACAAGACTGGTGTTCCTCTTCCTGCCTGTGCGCCAGGCACACTGAAAAGCACTCCCTGCTCCGTCCTCCCAAAAGAATCAGAATCAGTTCTGTTGGGAGGAGGCTCTCCTCTGAGGGGCTTTCCAAACTCTGAGAATGAGGAGCACAGGTGACAAAACAGAAGTTCATGTAGTTACTTTAATATTAGGGAAAAGCTACTTATAACAAAAACCATTATTAGGAATAGACAAGGTCACCACCATAATAATTAATGATTCAGGGGGCTAAAGCAACTCTAAATTTATTTATTTATTTATTTATTTATTTATTTAAATATATTTTATAATTTTTTACAGAGAGGAATGGAGAGAGATAGAGAGTTAGAAACATCGATGAGCAAGAAATATCGATCAGCTGCCTCCTGCACACCCGCTACTGGGGATGTGCCCGCAGCCAAGGTACATGCCCTTGATAGGGAATTGAACCTGGGAACCTTCAGTCCGCAGGCCGACGCTCTATCCACTGAACCAAACCGGTTAGGGTGCAACTCTAAATTTAGATGAACCTAATAACAAAATCTCAAAATATAGTGGCAAAACTTGATAGAATTACAAAGAAACAAAATTTCTCTCTTTTTTTTTCTTCCAGTTTTGTTGAGGTATAATTGACAAATGAGCTTGTAAGATAGTTAAAGTATACAGTGTGGTGATTAACATGTATGCATTGTGAAGGATTCCCACCCACCACCTCACATCTATTTTGGGGGAGGAGGGAGTGGTGAGAACATTTAAGTTCTAATCTCTTAGCAAATTTCATTATATAATACAGTGTTATCCACTAGTCAACATGTTTTACATAAAGCCTCAGACCTTATTTGTTTTATAGTTTAAAGTTTATACTCTTTTACCAACTGCTCCCTACTCCCCCCTCCTCCAACCCCTGACAACCATTTGTCTCTGTTTCTACGACTTTTCTTTTTTAAAAAAATCTTTATTGTTGAGAGTATTACAGATGTTCCCCCTCTTTCCCCCATCACCCCACTCCACCTGGTTCCTGCCCCACCCCAGGCCTTCCCCACCCTACTGTCTATGTTCTTAGGTAAGCACTTTAATCTCTTCCCTCCACCCCCACCCCCTTCCCTCTGAGATTCGTCAGTCTGTTCCGTGCTCCCATGCCTCTGATTCTGTTTATTCACCAGTTTCTTTTGTTCATTAGATTTCTTGTTTTCTTTTTATTTTTAGATTTGATTGTTGGTAGATATGTATTTGTTGCCATTTTATTGTTCATATTTTTTATCTCTTCCCCCTCCCCCTCCTCTTTCTCCTCTTCCACCTCCTTCTTCAGTAACACCCTTCAACATTTCATGTAATACTGGTTTGGTGGTGATGAACTCCTTTAGCTTTTTCTTATATGTGAAGCTCTTTATCTGAACCTCAATTCTGAATGATAGCTTTGCTGGGTAAAGTAATCTTGGTTGTAGGTCCTTGCTATTCATCACTTTGAATATTTCTTGACACTCCTTTCTGGCCTGCAAAGTTTCTGTTGAGAAATCAGCTGACAGTCGTATGGGTGCTCCCTTGTTGGTAACTAACTGTTTTTCTCTTGCTGCTTTTAAGATTCTCTCTTTGTCTTTAACCCTTAGCATTTTAATTATGATGTGTCTTGGTGTGGGCCTCTTTGGGTTTCTCTTGTTTGGGACTCTCTGCACTTGCTGGACTTGTAAGTCTGCTTCTTTCACAGGGATGGGAAGTTTTCTGTCATTATTTCTTCAAATAGGTTTTCAATACCTTGCTCTCTCTCGCTTCCTTCCGGCACCCCCATGATGTGAATGTTGGTATGCTTGAAGTTGCCCCAGAGGCTACCTACAGTTTCTTCATATCTTTGGATTCTTTTTTCTTTTTGCTCTTCTGGTTGGGTGTTTGTTGCTTCCTCATATTCCAAACCATTGATTTGGTTCTCAGAATCTTTTACTCTACTGTTGAATCACTGTAAATTGTTCTTTATTTTGGTTAGTGTATGCTTCGTTTCTGACTGGTTCTTTTCCATGTCTTTGACATTCTCACTAATATCCTTGAAAGTCTCATGAAGATCCTTGAGTAACCTCCAGGCAAACTGGTTGTGAGGACAAGCTGTGACTACCGTGGGAACACTGCTGTGCAGGAGACGAGACCCAGCTGTGAAGAAGGCAGGCTGGTGCTAGTGCCCGGTCTTGGGCCTTTTATTGATAGGTTTGAGGCGTGCTGTCACCAACTGGATACATGGTTTTGAACTCTGTATCCAGTAGTTTGCTTGCTTCTATTTCTTTCATTTGTAACATGTTTCTTTGTCTCCCCATTTTGGGTGCTTCCCTGTGTTTGTTTCTATGTATTAGGTCAGGGGTCCTCAAACTACGGCCCGCGGGCCACATGAAAATACAAATATTTTATTTTTTTACTTCAAAATAAGATATGTGCAGTGTGCATAGGAATTTGTTCATAGTTTATTTTAAACTATAGTCTGGCCCTCCAACAGTCTGAGGGACAGTGAACTGGCCCCCTGTTTAAAAAGTTTGAGGACCCCTGTATTAGGTAGAGAGAGCTAGTATGTCTCCTGGAATTGGTAGAGTGGCCTTGTGTATTAGGTGTGCTGTAGGGCCCAGTGGCTCAACCTCCCCAGTCACCTGAGCTGGGGACTCTAGGTGCACCTCTGTGTGGGCTGTGTGCACAGTCTTGTAGTTGAGCCTTGATTGCTGTTGGCATCTCTGGGAGCAGTTGACCTCCAGGCAAACTGGTTGTGAGGACAAGCTGTGACTACCGTGGGAGCACTGCTGTGTAGGAGTCGAGACCCAGCTGTGAAGAAGGCAGGCTGGTGCTAGTGCCCGGTCTTGGGCCTTTTATTGATAGGTTTGGGGCATGCTCTCACCAGCTGCAGCTTGTTTGAGAGATTTTAGCAAAGTCTGAAACCTGAGCCAGGACAGGCCATTCATATGGAAAAGCTGCTGCAAACAGCTTGGGTGGGGCTGTGTCTCAGGGAATCCCCAGGGTGGAGCATCAGTGTGAAGCAGGCTGATGGAAACTCAGATATGGCTGCCAGTCAGCCCTGTGACAGGGTAGGTCCCAGCACAGGAACAATGACCCTTGTGAGCACTCCCGTCTGGGAGAAGGCCGCCCTGAAGTTCCTGCACCGATGCCAGACTATCCAGTTCCTCCCTGCATGTGTCTGGGTCCCCTGGCACTGGAGCTCAGAAGAAGTGGGATAGTTTAAGTCAGTGGTTCTCAACCTTGGCTGCACATTAGAATCACCTGGGAATCTTTTTAAAATCCTGATTTCTGGGCCTCATTCCAGGGGATGAGGTTCTCCAAGGTTGAGAACCACTGGTTTAAGTTTGTGTACAGGCCCTTTAAGAGGAATACCTGGGACTCCAGCAGCTTATGTGTCACTCAGCCACAAGACCCATCGGTTTTTACAGCCTGAAGTTACAGGGACTTCTCTTCTCAGCTCTGGAACTCTGGGCTGGGGGTCTGGTGTGGGGCTGGGACCCCCTGCTTCTCATGGGCAGTCTCTGCAGAGACGATCTTCCTCCCGACTGAAAAAACAGCCCTGTGGGTGCGGGACTAGTCCATTCAGTGCCTCCACCCCTCCTACCAGTCCTGATGTGCTTTCTTCTTTACTTCTCTAGTAGTAGGACTTCCATTTAGCCAGCTTTCAGGCAGTTCTGCGCAATGGTGGTTTTGTATTTTAGTTGAAATTTTGATGTAGTAGAAGGAGGCAGTGAGTACAGGTGGTTACCTATGCTGCCATCTTGGTTCCTCTTCCTGACTTATCTTTTTTGAAAGATTCCACATAAAAATAAACATGATACCATGTATTGTTTGTCTTTGTCTGTCTGGTTTATCCCTTAGTATAATGTCCTCAAGGTCCATCTATGATGTCACAAATTAGCAGGATTTCCTTCTTCCTCAGAGCTGAATAATTATAAAGAAAAATTGACAAATCTACTACCACAGTGGAAGACTTGGAAGATTGTACTCTTTCAGCAATTATTAGATAAAATCCTAAAACCAGTTAAGTCAGTGGTTCTCAACCTTCCTAATGCTGCGACCCTTTAATACAGTTCCTTATGTTGTGGTGACCCCCAACCATAAAATTATTTTCATTGCTACTTCATAACTGTAATTTTGCTACTGTTATGAATTGTAATGTAAATATCTGATATGCAGGATGTATTTTCTTTGTTACAAATTGAACATAATTAAAGCATAGTGATTAATCAAAAAAACAATATGTAATTATATATGTGTTTTCTGATGGTCTTAGGCAACCCCTGTGAAAGGGTCGTTCGACCCCAAAGGGGTCTCGACCCACAGGTTGAGAACCACTGAGTTAAGGGTATACTTGCTGGGAACAACACAAACCAGCTTGAGACATACTTAGAACACTGAGTATCAGACATACTCAGAACACTCTATAATTAGTAAATGCACATTCCTCTCAAACACACAAAACATTTATAAAAACTAACCACACATTAAACCTTAAAGTTTGTCATGACATATTTCCTAGAATTAATGTTATTACCAAATAACTCATGTTTTATGCCCACAAGATAATTATGTTAGAGAACTAGAAGCCCGGTGCACAGATTCGTGCATGAGTGGGGCCCTCTCACAATCTGGGACCCCTGGGGGATGTAGTAGTGCTGAAGCGGCAGGCTCATTCTGGCTCCACTGCCGCCCGGCTTCTGACTGAGTGGTGCTCCCACTGTGGGAGTCCACTGACAACCAGAGGGTAGCTCCTGTGTTGAGTGTCTGCCCCCTTGTGGTCAGTGTGTGTCATGACGACTGGTCCTCTGGTCATTTGGCCATAACGGTCATTTAGGCTTTTATATTTATAGATGATAATGAAAAGAAAATTAAAAATGCTCCCATACAGTGGACTCTGAAATTAGGTATATTAGGGAGTTGAGGCAATAGGAAGATGGAAGAACTTCAGGATTTGTCTTGGATTTCATTGCCATCCTCTCTTCATCCCCATCACAGGTGCACACCAACTTTCTGAACCTGTTCCAGGTCAAACAACCAGGGAGCCTGCTGTTCGAGGTCCTGGTGTTTGCCGAGCGGCTGAGTGAGGGCCGGAACACGCCACACTACCGTGCCGTGAAATGGCATTACAACGAGCAGTCTCTGCATGAAGCTCTCTTTGGGGAAAAGTCACGCCTGGCAGACCGGCTGCTGGCCCTGGTCATCCACCCGGAGGAGGAGGTTCAGATCCAGGCCTGCAAGGTCATAGTCAGCCTGCAGTGCCCCCAGGACATAAGAGGGCGGTCCTCTTCCTGCATTACTGGTCATCCCTGTTTTAATAGTGGGGAATAAAAGTAAGGAGAGCCAATAAATGAGTTTGGGAGAGACGCTCGAGGAGCAGTGTCTGTCCAGGGCCTCCAGGGCTGGTGGAGATTTCATCCAGCTTAGCCCGTGCCCCAGAGCATGACAGAGGCTGGGCCCACCTCCCCGCACACATCCCCACTTCCCTGTTTGGGGGACAGACTCCCTTTCCTCTTGCTGCTTTTCAAGTTGCAGTGTGGAGCCAGTGCTTCCAGGGAGCTTCCGGGAGAAGGCAGGCTTGGGGACTGAGGCCAAAGATAATCAACAACAGATGGTATAACATTGGATTACTCAGGATGGGAGAGGTTTTGCTGCAGTAACAAACGACCTCCAAATTTTAGCAGCTTAAAAAGGATCAAGGGTATTTCTTATTCACACTCTGTGTCCATGGGTTGGGGGTAGGGGGTGAGTGGAAGGGCAGGCGAATGTTTTAAACCATCTTCTCTCAGGGGCAGGCTGAGGGAGGCTCTTCATTGTGTTTCTGCAACTCCTACTAGAGAAGGCAAAGGAAGTGTGGCAGTGATCACTGGCTCTTAAAAGTTCAACCACAGCCCACTGTTGTGGCTCAGTGGTTGAGCATCATCCTAAGAACCAGGAGGTCACGTTTGATTCCCGGTCAGGGCACATGCCGAGGTTGTGGGCTCAATCCCCAGTGCGGGGCGTGCAGGAGGCAGCCAATCAATGATTCTCTCTCATCATTGGTGTTTCTGTCTCTCTCTCCCTCTCCCTTCCCCTCTGAAATCAATAAAAAAAACACAAAAAACTAAAAAAAAAAAAAAAAAAGAATATAGTAATAGTACTTATCTTGTGAAGCTGTTGGGAAGATTCTATGGGGATTATCTGAGTTAATGAATATCAGGCGCAGAGTTGTGCCTGAAGAGGTGTTCATCAAAGATGGGCTCTGAGGAGCTAGGAAATGCTCGTTGAGAAAATGAAAGATTAGCGTGGAAAGGCCCTTGGAGAGCGCTGAGTCCGACGTCTCTCCAGTCTCTTTGGGTAACAGGCACCAGAGAGTCCCAGAGTCCCCTGCGAAGCGCCCTGAAACGCCGCAGGAAGCAGAGGGCGTGTGTATATAAACCCACACCGTGAAGTCTCCGTAACAGGGAGACTGCCCGACCGCGGCGGCCACCCACTCAGGTTTGCCCATGCACGGCATTTCCCACTCTTCGTTCCCTGTGCTATCTGTGATCGCTTCCCGGCAGGCACGCAGTGCTGGTGCTGGTTGCTCCTGGCTTAAGACAACATCATGGGAGAGAACCCACAACTGGAGCCAGTCACAGTCTGCTGGCACTTGCTTTAGAAGGCAGGTCATGCTGACCAGCTGTGGATCTCCACTGTCCTTCAGAGGCAGGATTGAAAGCTACCATCTGCCCAAGGCCAAGCCTGGCATTTGGCTGAAGGGGAAACAAGCCCAAATAGGGAAAGTGACTTGCTCAAGGTCACATGACTGGTCTGGGGCACAAAGAGGATTAGAGCCATTTAGTCTTGGGTTTTTGTGTGTGTGTGTGTGTGTGTGTGTGTGTGTGTGTGTGTGTGTGTATGTTTGCTTTTGTTTGGTTAGTCCCCATCTGAGGATAGTTTTCCATTGATTTTTAGGGAGAGTGGAAGAAAGAGGGAAAGACAGACAGAAAAGAAACATCAATGTGAGAGAAACACATCGATTGGTTTGCCTCCTGCACGAGTCCTGACCAGGGCCGCTCTCAGCCAGCTCCCTGTGTTCCCATGTCACCTGGGTACTGGTCCTCACCTTCCACTGCTCCACCCCACCACATCCCAGCAGCCATTCTGAACATCTCACGTCTACCCAGGTCTCCAGTGTCCACTGCTGCTACCCTGATCCTGACATCAGGACTTTTGGGTAGTCATGTTCCGACTCTGGTCTCCATCACTCCAGGATACGCTTAAAACCCACATCACATCATCTTCAAAAACCTTCGGGGGCTCCCCACTGCCACAGTGAACTTTTTCTCAGCCCCAAAGCTAAGTCACATAACCCAGCAAGTAAAAATGTACTTATAGCCAAAGCAGGTGGAGTTTCGTTCTCAGAGATATGGTCATTGGGCCCCATTTATCATGGTAGTTGCACAGGAATTAGCTTTGCACTTAAGGCCCTTCACAATCTGGTCATCTTGCCTGCCACTAGCCTCCCATGTCAGGTCTCATCTCCAGCCACACTGCAGTGAGCCAGTCCTGCCTGAGCAGTTGATCCAACTTCTCCCTGCCTACAGTGCCCTTCTCTCTCCTTTGCACTGGGCTGGCTAAGTCTTCTACTGCAGGCTGGAGCTTTCTTCAGCCTTTGCTGCTTCCTGCGGCCCTTCTCCTGTGAATCTCATTGGGCATTTGGCAAATTAAAGCCTGAATCTTACCGAATTTGTTCTTTTCACAGTGGGCCTTGCAGTAGAGCCAGCTCTGGGGAGGCACCTGATAACAATTGGCTGATGGTAATGACAGGAGAGTTGGCAGTGGGCAATGAGATGGGCAGGTTGGGGGTGGTTCTTTGTGTTATGCCCAGAATTCAAGATCCCCAAGAAACCACGCCAGGGAGTCAGTCCGATGCAAAAGCAGAAGGTCCTTTATTGAGTTAGCTAACCCGACCCGGGCCTCCAGTCGACGCAGCGACCGGAAACCGAGTCCGACCCGTGTGAAAATCAGGGCTTTAATAGTGAGGGGAGGGGAGCTGGCTGTGGCCCTGCCAATTGGCCGGGTGCAAGTCGGGTCTTGTTACACAGGATGTGGTCATCTCTATGGCGCGCACATCCCTTGCTTGTCATTGGTTAGTTCAAAGAAATCCTGGGCGTGGCCAGCAGGGGCCTGGGCTCAGGAAGAAGGCACTTTTCTGAGCACATGGCCTCTGCCCCAACATGGAGGATCCAGGGTAAGATGGAGGGCGTAGCCCTCGCCCTTTCACTTTGTTGCTGTGCAACAAATTATGACAAAACTTAGCATATCAAGCCCAGACAAGAGAAAGTGAAGGAGTTCATCACCACCAAACCAGTATTATGAGAAATGTTAAAGGGACTTCTTAAGAAGAACAAAAAATAAAAATAAAAATTATGAATAACAAAATGTTGCAAAAAAAAAAATTCTCATCGGCAAAGGCAAACATAATAAAAGCAGTGGATTAGCCAACACTAACACTGGTACAAAGGTTAAAGGGTAAAAGTAGGAAGATTATGTGTAATGACAACAGTAAAATAAAGGGTACACACTCACACACACACACAGTAAGTAAAAAATGACAAAAACATAAACATGAAGGGGGTGAGTAAAAATAGTAGTGACTTTATTTTTAAAAAATATGTTTTTATTGATTTCAGAGAGATGAAGGGAGAGGGGGAGAGAGGTAGAAACATCGCTGAGAGAGAAGCATCAACGGGCTGCATCCTGCACGCCCCCCACTGGGGATCGAACCAACAATATCTACTGGTTGTCCAAATGCCAGTATAAAATAAATCTTTTGTAATTAAAAAAAAAATGGTTGAAATCTACTGGCCTATGGAACATAGCTTAAGGCCTTTTTGGGGTGGGAGGCAGTGGGCACAGGTGTCTGAGGACCCTTCCTTTGCCCTTGGCTGAAGGAACATGGCTGTAACTCACCCAGAGCAATCCTCAGTGTGTTGCAGCTCAGGGTATTCTAGACACCTGTGTTTCTGCTTGCCTGCATCCATTCCCATGAGGAACCACATCTCCCCTGCCTTTGGGAACCTGCTCTGTCCGGGTTCCTGAGGTTCTGCTAATAATACCAGTCCCTCCCCCACCCCCACCCCCCATCCGCCCGGCCCCAGCCACATGATTGGCCTAACTTGGGCCAAAGTTTCCTAGGATTTTATGTATGGGTGCTGAAGGGAGATGCTAGGGGCTTTGTTCAGCTTTGCCCTCCCCCTGCCCCTGTCCAGAGAGGCAGAGAATGAGGTTGAAGCCAAGGAGAAAGACATCTGATGTCGGCAAGGTGCGTCTCTGGGCCCCTGAAGCTGCTGACCCAGAATTGTTTCTTCTGGTTTTTATTTTTTAAACTAGAGACCTGGTGCATGAAATTCATGCATGGGTAGGGTCCCTAGGCCTGACCGGCAATCAGGGCCTATGGGGACCTTCTGGCTGCCAGCCAGGGCCTTCCTTTATTCTGTGCCGCCCCCTGGTGGTCAGTGCACATCACAGCGAGTGATTAAACTCCCAGTCGAACTCCCGAGGGGACACTTTGCATATTAGCCTTTTATATATAAGATAAGTTAATTTGTGCCCTAGCTGGTTTGGCTCAGTGGCTAGATCATTGGTCTGCAGACAGAAGAGTCCTGGGTTCGATTCTGGTCAAGGGCACATGCTTGGGTAGCGGGCTTGATCCCCAGGAGGCAGCCGATCAATGATTCTCTCTCATCATTGATGTTTCTAACTCTCTCTCCCTTCCTCTCTGAAATCAATAAAAAAAAAACATTAAAAAAATACAAAAGTTAGCTTCTTTCACTTGCACTAAAGGAATCGTGATTACCTCATGGCTTCCTGAGGTGGGCGAGGGGCTGAGGACTAAAGTGGCCCAGAAAGTCACTGAGTGGGAGGAGAGTCGGGTCATCTGGTGTCAGTGAGTCTACGCATGCGCCCTACACTCAGGCAGTGTGGGCAGGCACCAGGTCGGGCACCCCTCTGCTGTGCCCCAAGCTGTGTGGAGCCCACTGTGGACTAAACATGGAGGTGGTAGGGATTCCTGCCTTGCCCTCTGAGGAGCTCAACCCACTTCCATGGGTGGGAGCAGTGCCCACCAGGTACGGGTGCCCACCTCTGTCTCCAGGCAGAAGCCCCAGGGCCTCAGGGCCTGGCTAGGTCTGCAAGGGGCTGCTGGTCAGTTAGCTCTGTCCTCTCCCCCCAGGTCTTTCTCCTCCGCTAAGCCGACAGCCCCTTCCCTTCTCAGCCTGTCCTGAGAAATAAGATGAGAGCTGTGTGCTCTGAGCCCTGACCCTTGTAGTGTGTGTGTGTGTGAGTGTGTGTGTGTGTGTGTGTGTGTGTGTATGTGTGTGTGAGAGAGAGGGTGGGGGGTGGGCTGAGGTGGGCGTGTGCAGACCTCTGTTGGTCATGCTGGGCCTCTGCCTCTCTCAGGAGCCTCCTTCCCCTCACACCCCGGCTCCCAGGCTGGGGCTGGGTCCCCTGCCCTGACTCCGGCCCTGACTCCCCAGCCCGCTGTCCACTGAAGAGCCATCTCAACGGGGGTTCAGGCCCCCACCTCCCTGGAGCACAGCCGGCCCCACTGGGCTCTGTGCCCCCGAGCAGACACCTGTCCTCTTGTGTTCTCCTGCACTTGCCCTCACCTCCAAGCCCTGCTCCCTCCGGCGCCTGCTTGGGAGACCTGTTCTCTCAGCTTGTCCACCCCCAGGTCCCCTTCAAGCAAGAGAGCCTCCCCTCGGGCATCAGGGCTGCGGGCATTCTACCTGGTGCCTCCACCTGGCCACCTGGAACATTCCCCCTGAGGTCCTCCAAGAGCCTCTGCGGTCTCCACACCTCCCCTCCCCCGGGCCCTCACGGCACCCCGCCAGGTCGCTGTCAGGAATGTACTGGGTGACAGGCGGTCTCCGCTAGGTCACTGTTCTCGGGATTTTATCATGGACTTCGCAGACCAAGAAAACTTTCAAAAAATTATGGAGACTATAT